AGAACTGAGTAACAAGTTAGACTGTGAAAAAAAAGGCACCATGGGGAGCTGAGATACCTACATAGGATCAAGAGAAGTTTTCCTTAAAATGGGCATGCAAGGGGAAAACAACATAGAGGTAGGAAAAGTTGAAGGGAGAGCAATAGTGAGTGGATGAGTCTCAATGGCTGAGAAGAGTGGAAAGGGGCGGGCAGGTCTTTGGAGTGGAGGAAAGGGCAGAAAGGTGGTGCCAGTGCAGCAGGTGGAGACGGACAGCAGGCCAAAGAGGATTCTGTGCTGTATAGACAGAGAATTTTCTCTGTGAAATAGAAAATGAGGTCACCTGAGTGAGAGAGAGCAGCAGGTGAGGAAGTGTGAGGGAGGGGATGCTTTAGGAAAGCAATACAGGTTGATAGGGCCTAAAAAGGTGATTATACCTTTGGACCAATAATTTCACTTTAAAAGTCTTTTGTAAGAAAATAATTTTGAAATGTTATTCAAAAATTATACACTAGATATTTGTTCGTGGAGTTATTTACAATCATTGGAAATAAATGAGGGAAAATATGTAATGTTTTTCAATTTATCAATAACAGAACAATTAAAAATTGTGCTATGGAATTACATTAATTTAAAATGATGTATTAGAAAGATTATATAAGGTCAAAGTAAAATACTTGTAACATAACGGTAAGTACTAAAGGCAGGATTTATAATTTCATATAAGATAATATATATGGAGTGGCTAGAAGGAAATAGAGCAAACTATTAATAGAAGTTCTTTCTTGTGAGGTAGTATATGAGTAATTTTATTTTCTTTTTATTTTTTGACATTTTTTAATAATAGATATGCTTACTTTAAAATAATAACAATGATTTTAAATTACTTAAAAATTTTTAATCAACACAATTATTTAAAGCAAACATTTTGCATGTTTCCCATTACTAACATTTTAAGTGGTTACAGTTAATGTCAAAATTCTACTTTGTTTTTCCCAGGTCATCCAGAAATTTATCCTATAGTGTTAACTACAAAGACCCAAGAAATATTTAACTGCCGAGTAGATGAAGACTTCACAGATGAAGAACCTTATAAACTTATCAAAAAACAAGATATTTTGGCAGACTTTCACAACAGAGCTGCAGTATCTGATTTCTACCCAGTCAAAAAAATTGTTCAGGCAAGTACAACATCTCTCTCTATTTTTCAGTATTGCTTCAAGGGGTTCCTGGTACATAATAACAAAAGATGAATAGATTGCTGAGTTTAGATCTGACATTCGCCGTACTTTGGGCAAATGCTGGCTTGCCCATACCTCCTTTGAAATCCTGCTTGATGATCCTCTGTGAGAAGCGAACGCTTGTCAGTGACTGGCTATCTTATTCTACACCCAGAAAAGCTAATCCTTGCCTAGTTTTAACTAAAATAGGAATCTACTCTGATCTTCCCATACCACTTTAATTGTTTAATTCATAATTTTGGTCCTGATATGTCCCCAAACACATGACAAAGCACAATGCCAAATAAAAGAACTGCTCCTTTTTTTCCTGTTAGAAATAAAATTGCATGGTAAAATTTTCCGGACTCATTGTGTTTTAAGAGCTTTTAATAGTTAATAAAATAATTTTACAATTTGGGGCTATTAACTATAGATTAGCACTATGGTTATCTTTTATGATTGATTAACAAAATATCAATTTCATATCAGTGTCCAAAAAAACTGTGTGACCATTGAATATCATTAACCTTTGTTAACACCCTTTTTCTCTCCCTCTCCTCTCCCTCTTCAGTAGCATGTTGTTTAATCTCCACATATTTGTGAATTTTCCAGTTTTCTTTGTGTAGTTAATTTCTAGTTTCATACCATAGTAGTCAAAAAGATGCTTGAATCCTCTTAAATTTATTAAGACTTGTTTCGTGACTTAACATATGCTCTATCCTTGAAAATGTTCCAAGTGCTCTTGAGAGAAAAAAATATTGTGTTGGTTTTGAGTGAAATATTCTATAACCTGGTCTTCTGATTATATTCCTATAGGAATATCCTGGAGATGAGCTTCTGATTGTTTGTGACAAAGACTTCAAATATGGACTTAACTTTTACCTTATTGGAACTGAAGAGGGCAAGGAAAACTATTTAAATGTAAGCACACCCAATCTCTTGCATTTTATTGATTGTCAGAAGGAAACGGCACCTCTAGGGAAGACTTATGCATTACTAGGATTATTCTTGTTCTCCTGTTTCCCTGGGGCCTACATCTTGTTTTGGCACCTAGAGTAAGTGAGCAGTAAATGTGGGATGAACTAATCAGACATCTCAAGGTAGCTCTACTTATTTGCCCTTTACTGACCCGATGAGAGCAGAAACCATGAATCTGGAGTGCCACTGCTCTCGGCCACTCCTTGGCCATATTCCTGGTTCTCCTCTTGCCACCTCCGTGACTTGGGATAAGTTACTGATCCTCTTGTCTATAAAACGGCACCAATAGTGTCCATTTCCAGAGCTGGAAAATTAAATGGACTAAAACAATGTAAAGCCCTATGTATAGTGTCTGACACAAAGCTAGGTACTCCATAAATGTTTGCTATGCTTATGTAAAAACAAAAATTTTAAAGGATGACTTGGTCAGTGAGCAGTCGATGGGGCGAAAAGCAGCAAATAAAAGAATGGTAGTTTCCAAGGGGAAAAATTCAGTTCACCTTTAGGGTGTTTTGTTCAATGTGGTCATGAAAGGTAACAGGTTTCTGAGACTTGCCTTCTGATCTGGCATCCTTGTGGGGAGGTTTAGTCAAACTGAAGATGACAAAGGGGTTTGAGTGGTTGTCTAATAAACAAAAAAAAAAGAAAAGAAAAGAAAACATAGAATTTTAAAATATCTAACACTTTATAAACTAAAAATAATCTTTTACTTGGCATTAACATTTTCAATTTTATTTTTATGGTTGCTTTTCTGCATTTTTAATTTTTTAATTACAGTCTTCTGCTGCTTAATGATGGGCACACATCCTGATAAATGCATCATTAGATGATTTCCTCGTTATGTTAACATTATAAAGTGCCCTTACACAATCCTAGATGGTATAGCCTATTGTTCCTAGGTTACAAGCCTGTATAGTTTGTCACTGTACAAAACAACACAAAATTAAATCAAGCGCAAGCAAAGATGATGCAATCAAGAGATGTTTGAGGCTGCTGTTGGTATAATACAGCATTTTGCTTTACAGCAAACATTTCTTTTAAATAAGTAGAAAGAATACACTCTAAAGTAATACATAAACCAGGAACATAGTAGTCATTTATTGGCGTTATCAATTTGTAATGTTCTATACATAATTGTGTGTGCTATACTTTCATATGTCCTGCAACCCAGTAGGATTGTTTACACAAGCATCACCACCAACATGTGAGAAATGCATTGTGCTAGGACATTACCGCAGCTACAAAGTCACTAGATGATAAAAAATTTTTTAGATCCATTATAATCTTATGAGACCATTGTTGTTGACTGAAACGTTGTTATATAGTGCATGACTCTATAGTGAAATATTTTCAAATGTATAGAGAAGTACAGAGAACAGTATAATATCCACACAACCATATCCAGAATTAACAAATTTCAATATCATCATACTTACTTCAAGTTTTTAAAGAAATAAAATATTATAATAAATAATGTTTCACTCCTTCTTGTGTCTTCCCTAATTCCATTTTCCTTACTTCTCTCTATAAAGAACCATTATTAAAAAGTTGTTATATATCCCTCCTGTCCATTTTATATTTTTACCATATATGTATGCTCCACAAATAATGTGTTTTACTATTTTATTTAAAAGTCACATGTAATTATATAAATTGTTCCACAACTTTTGTTTTTCATTGAATTATAAAATTCTAGGATCTATCCATTTTGATACATTTAGATATCATATATATGTAAATCAAGTTTGTTCATTACAACTGCTTTATGGGATTTTATTTTATGATTATAACACAATGTATTAATTTGTTCAGTTATTGACACATTCTGTTTATAGACAGATGATAGATGATGATGATGATAGATAGATAGATAGATAGATAGATAGATAGATAGATAGATAGATAGAGATAGATAGAGAAATATTGATATATATCTCTCTATATACTCCTTATGGACATCTTGATTTAAAAACATTCACTCATTATTTAATGGATACCATGTTTATTCATACTTATAATCCTCTTATCGAAGAAATTTTATTAAATCAGAAAACTAGTTTTATATTTAATATTGTTTGTTTCCATATTTATAAAGCTGTGTGGTACATGCTTTATTCTTATCACGTATCTTTATCTTTTTTACTCTCCCATCCTTCTTTCATCTTCTCTCTCTATCCTTGACATCTTCTTTTGTTCTTTATTCTTTCTTTTTGCTTAGTTTCCTTCTTATAATTGAAAAGCGTGAACCAACAAAGAAAAAAAAATGAGAATCTGCCTAACGAATTTATATAAAAGTAAAGTTTATTACAAAATATACACATGTAGCTATAACATAAAAATTGGTCATATATTTTAGAATGCTATTTATGTCACTCTAGCCCCCAGAAGTACCAGAAGAACAAGAAGAATATAAAGAATTTAAAGACTATTCTCCCGAAGACATTTCTGTTTATAAGCCACCTATCTCTAAACCATGGGTTTCTTTGGGCAGTGAAAAAGAAGTTGAGGAAGAATCAGTTAAGGAATCTACAAAGCAGGTCAGCGGCTTAAATATTATTTCTAGTCATTCCCTCCCTAGAGCTGAATAACACTTATTCCTGAAGGATCTATAAGGTTTGCTATGTTTGCTATGGGCATGTGGTTTTTCTTTTGATAGAAGAATGATCATTGTGTTGTTATTAGTTGAATTGTGTCCCTCTCAAAAGAATGAAGTCCTAACATCTAGTACCTCAGAATATGACCCTATTAAAAAATGGGAGGGTGCTATTCAAATATGACTGAGGTCCTTATAAAGAGAGGACATTGAGAAGACACAGAGACATGGGGAGAACAGAAGGATGCAGAGATTGGAGTGCTGTATCTACAAGCCAAGGAACACCGAGGATTGCTGGTGTCACCAGAAGCTTAGGAGAGAGGCAAAGAACTGATCCTTTCTCAGAGTCCTCGGAAAACAAATGAACCTCCAACACCTTGATATCAGACTTCTAATCTCCACAACTGAGAGAGAATAAATTCCTGTTGTTTTAAGCTAACATGTCTATGGGACTTGATTACCGCAGCACTAGGAAACTGATACAGCGGCATAGCCAGAGTAGCCCCTAAGAGGAGGGTTTGAATGCGAGTGATTTATTTGGAAGTGCTCCATTGGAGAATAGAAAAAGCATCAGGACAGGACGGGGCAGAAGCCCTGCAAAAACCTCAGCAGAGGGAAGGCTTCAGCCTGAGCCCCTAGGGGAACTCAGAGTGTAAATTACACTGCAGAGCTGTCCAAAGCAGAAGCAAAAGAGATGGGCTTATTCATGTCTCCTGCCAGTCTATCATGGGTTGAGATGTAAACAGCCAGTCACTTCCTGTTGTTTGCACCTGCGGGTAGCCCTAGAGAAGTGTTTCCTAGAAGAACAGCAGGTGGTGGCCATGGGAACAGAAAGCACACAGAGCTGGAGGGGTGCAAAGAAAGTATACAAAGCGATCTAAGAAGATCTGGGCAGAACACCTGCGTTGTCTACCACACATCCATTTTTCTCCACTGACTTGATTATGCTACCTTTACTGCTTACCTGTGTTGCAGATTACATATATGATTTCTCGAAAACGAAGTCAATTTGGTGCACCAATCAAGTTCAGTGACCAGAATGCTTCCAGTATAAAAGATGCCTATATCGAATGTACAGCCTACCCAGATAAAAATTTTACCCTTAAGGTACTTGAGAAAGATGTTGGCATGCAAGTAGTCCCCCATATCAAGGACACAAGTACTCAGACAAAATGGTAAGTATGTGATAGGTTTATGTATTTTCAAAGGCAATTACAGTAAAATCTAGCAATGTCCATGATTATTTTGAGAGCTTTAAAATAAATAGAAATAGAATGACATTGATGATACAGATCCCTCTACAGAGTAATTCAATTTGGGAAGATCTCATTACACTCAACAATTCCTTTTAAAATCTTAATAAGAAAATGAGATATAAGTATATAAGGCAATAGAAACTATGAAGTGGAAAAGTGACAGATGCTGTTAATAATTACAGTACTGCTTTCACTTGAAATATTACCATTGCCTCCTAACTGCTCTGTTCTACTACCTAAGTCATCATTCTTACATATTAAATCAGATTGTGTTACTTCACTGCCTAAATCTCTTCTTTAGCTCCTCATCACATCCAGAGCCCTTATTGGGATGGCATATATGATCCTTCTTCCCTTATGACAAGGCACCATCGGCCTCTCCAGTCTCACCACCCCACCCCCCGTTACCAAAGAAGTCCTCTATGCTCTAGTCCTGTGAGCTGCTTCCATCTCCCAGAATATTTGCTCTTCCACAACTTGCTGTCTTTGCCAATGCTGTTCCTCTGCAGAAAATATCCTTCACTGCCTTGTCCCTCTGGGGAACCACTCTTCACTCTAAGTTCATTGCTCCCTTCTCTGTGATTTCCTGGAAATGCCAGGTAGAGTTGATCACTTCCTCCTCTAGGACCCCACTAGCGCTTACAGGTATCTGTCATAGCACTGAGAACCCATATTGTACTCATCTGCTTACCTATCCATCTACCTTAGTTCCAGAGCACTTGGAGGCTACTAGCTATATCATTTCACACATCAAGCTCTTAATTAAAATTTGTCCAGTGAATGAATTGATGTGAAATGGATTGACAAGGGGATGCTTGACCTAGGCTTTGAATATCGTATAAATTTGAAGATATATTTAGCTAAGCTATGTATTTTTTTAGTATTTAAAATGTTTTCTTATTTTGAAAGAATTTTAGATTTATGGAAGATAAGCCATGAGTGTTGACTATGATTTGGAGACAGAGAAAAAGGAAACAGCTTAAATTTTTAAATTTTATTTTATTATTAGTTTCAAGTATACAGTACATTGGTTAGACCTTTATATAGTTTATAAAACGATCCCCCTAATTTCTCTCTGGTTTTCCACCTAGCCATTACATTAATGCTAACTGCCATGCTCCCCGTCCCCATGACCATCTATCAACTACTAATTTGTACTTTTTTAACCCTTCACCCCATTTTCCCAGCCCTCCAACCCTCCTCCCCTCTGGCTATCACCAGATTGTCCTCTATATTTGTGAGATTTTGATTAGTTTGTTCTTTTTATTCCTTAGATTTCACATATAAATGAAATCATATGGTATTTATCTTTCTCTGTCTGACTTATTTCACTCAGCATAATCAGCCCCAATTTTTAAAAATGACCTGAACCCATTAGGGGATGGAAAGAACAGAGTTTTCATGAGACCATGAGGAGACCAGCTTGGGTACAATGGAGGGAATAGCAGAGGTAGACAGAGAAGTAGTTTCTCTGTGGTGGACAGTAGGGAGCTTGGCAAGAGTTCTGAAGCAAGAGACAGGCAGATGGTAAGGTATTGAAGTAAGATGAACCAGGCAGGTAGTATGTATTGGAGAGCACAGGAAAAAAATGCCTTGAGTTGAGGAGATTCGTTAAGTAGGAATCTATTGTCATTAAACCAGGCATTCCTTCTAAGTACTTTGCACACATCAACTCAAGTAATCTTTACAACTGCTTCTGAGGTAGGTATCATCCCCATTCTACAAAGAAATTGAGTCAAAGAGGTTAAAAATGAAAGTTTGATATTTGGAACAAATTTAAATCTGAAGCAATAATGAATAAATTTGCTGAGAAACAACAAAACAAATCACGTTTAAAAAAAATAAAAGTGACTCTTGGTCATGTTGCTACTTTGATGAAACTACCGGGTACCATAGAATTTCTTACTTAATCCTAACTAGAGGGTACTGGTGTGGGATATAAATTAAAAGATGAAACTAAGATTTATACCAGAATCTCTTTGGTTCCAATACCAACGTTCTTTCTTTCCATCACTCTGCCATCTGCTGTGGATACTGACCTAGGAAAAAAAAGTGGGGGGATGAATTATTCTATTAAATATAAGCAAAACTCTCTTTACCACTCTGTTTGACTACTCTCCATTTAATATATTTGCCTCTCACAGGGACATTTTACTGACATTTGTTCAACAAACACAGATTAAATACAACCTAATAGTTTATTGAGCACCAAAAATGTGCTAAGCACATTTTTAAAAATTTTGCATATATTTACACATTCAATCCTTCAATAACCCTATGATCTAGGTACTTTATGAATTTCATTTTGAGATTAGAAAACAGGCACAGAGAGGTTAAATAATTAGCTCAGGGTCACATAGCTAGTAAGTGATAGAATCAGGCTTCAAAGCCAGGCAACCTGTCACCAGAGTGCACACTCTTATGGATTGTGTCATATGACCTTTATATAGTCCCGCACCATAGACCAAGGAGCTACCCAGTCTAGTGGGTGAGACTGATAAAGCCCAGAGGTACAATGCAGTGCAATGTGTTCAGGGGTGGAGGTGAGCGCTGAGAGTGGACTGGTTGGAATAAGCTTTCCTCCAGGGACTGTGTTGCCATTATTGCCTTAATGCAAATTGTTCCTAGTTTTGTATATTTAGAGCAGAGTTTCTCAATCTCAACACTACTGACATTTTTGGGCTGGATTATTATCTGTGTGGAGGGCTGTCTTGTGTATTGTAGGGTGTTTAGCAGTTTCCTTGAACTTTACCCACTACATGCCAACAGTACTTGTTAGTTGTGACAACCAAAAACGTTTCCAGACATTGCCAAATGTTGCTGGGTTGTTGGGATGGAGCAGGATTGCACCAGTTAAAAAACAATGATTTAATTAAGTGAAGAGAGAGAGAGAGAGAGAAAATAATAAACAAATGTGACAAAAAGTTAATAATTGATGAATCGGGATGAAGAGTATATGGGAGTTCATTATATTCTTTTTTAAAAACTTTCTGTAAGTTTAAAATGATATCTAAATAATTTTGTTAAAATAAGAGCTTATTCATTATGTTTGAGAGAAATATACAAATACTTTCAATGGTAGTCAATATCAATGGTCTAGGATAAAGAAAAATTCGATATGTAGAATTTAAATATAAAATAATATCTTAATACTGTCATGACCTATACATGCTTTTCTTTGATGTAATTTTTTATATTCAATTTTCTTTTAATGTATTAGGACATATCCCAAAAATGCTGCTACACAATATTATCCAAGGGAATTTTCAGAAGAAGAAAAAGAAATACTAGGACAATCAAAGCCTTTAACTGATTTTCTTAACAACGCATCCATAAGGTAAAAATTCTATATTAAATTTAAAAAATGAAACAGTCTACACCCTGAACAAGCCCAATCCCGTCTGATCTCAGAAGCCAAGCAGGGTCGGGCCTGGTTAGTAATTGGATGGGCGAACACCTAGGAAGACTAGGTACTGTAGGCATAAAAAATAAAAAATAAGGGATTGTATGCTGACAAGGTCCTTGCAATCTGTGAGGTCAACCAAGGGTTGCCTCGCCTAAAAAATAAATAAATAAATAAATGAAAATTTAAAAAATAAAATAAATAAATAAAACAAAGTGTGTATATTTAGTTATAATAATAGGTCTTAAAAACAGCTTAATATCTAGATAGAAGTATGAAGACAGTTATCAGATATGCATAAGCATGTGACACTTTCTATAGATTCTCAGTTTTTCTTCGCTATTGCTAAGCAATACCCTAGACCTCACAAGCTAGGGCCACACCAAACACTGTAAACCTGGAAGACATATACAGTTGAGTACGTGATGGTGTTTTCCTAACAGCAAATTGTCATTTATTTACCATGGTTTCTTTTAAGTCTTTTCCTCCACTCCTCACTCCCCTTCTTAGTTTCACTGACTTTCAAAGGATTACAGAGCTGAGGATGCTGTGGATGTACAGAATGATCATTACGATGACAATAGGAATTTACAAAAATATCTTTGTAAATAAGAACCTGAATTCAATTCAGATGTACTTCCTGGATATGTCATCTTTATCCCTAATTCTTTTGTTGCTGCCATTTTTATTGGCTCTGAAAGAGAGGTGTCTTCAAAACATCCCTTACAATTATACTGTGACCCTGGGCAGAGCATTGGCGCTTCTAGAGAAAGAGTTTGACAAGGTCTTATCAAGTTGACATCAAAGTTCAGAGAAGTGGAACCATTGATGGACAAGTCTTCCAGTTGTACCCAATAGGTTGGTTTCCATTTCCAAAATTAGAAATTTAGTGGTCAAGTTCATGTATAGCTGAAGTTACGTTTTTTTATTTTTAAGAAAACATCATTAGTTCTTCCAGACTGGATTAAATATCCTGAAAATTACTATGCCTAGGGAGAGTCTGGTTCAAAAATTCATCAATGATCTAGAGAGTGCATTAACTTTTTGCCACTTCTGAGAAGCATGCCCTTTATAGCTTTTTTCTATGTGAGCAAAGAGAAAGAAACAGGAAAACCTAAGGTTTATTTTTTTCCCCATATCACAATTAAGAAATTGTTTAAATTTGTCCTGATAAGAACATTAAAAATGAGAAATCTCTCTTTCTACAATCGAGGGAATTATTCCGTTTTGAAGGAATAAATGGTCGATAGCCAGTTCTCAATTATCCACATCATGTATTATCTTTAGTCCTGGGCTTTTATTCTTCCCTTTCAGTTGTCATGCTTATAAAGAGAGGGATAATAATGCCTTCCCTGAGATGTGGGAAGGAGAAGCCAGAACTATAAAGAGAAAGAGGGAAACTGGCACAGGAATTGTAATGGTACTGGCCAAGAATAAGTAAGAAACTGACGTTTATATCACTGCCGTTCTCCACATTCTAAAATTGTTTATGGCTTATTTAATTTTTTAAAATTAATATAAGCCTATTTTTGTTCTGGAAGAGAGCCCTTTCAGAAATGAGTTCTTTCTTTTTCATAGAAATTTGTCCAGAATGAACTTAAGGAAAGCATGATTTGCAAAAGAAGGAAAGTACATGAGAGGAGAGAGAGAAACTTCCAGGGGATTCTCAAAGAGTGTGGGAAATCAAGAAACAGGAGACCAGAGCAAAGTCCCTCTTTGACTTCTCTTTTGGGAATTCTTTCCGCACTGGAGCTGAAACAGAAATTAGATCTTGAAAATGCTAACGAATGCTTCTACTTGAAACTGGGTTTAAACCTTGAAGTTCTAGGATGTGAATCTATGCTACCTTGCAAGGTTATTCAAATTTTAATATGCAAGTGGACCATCTGGGCATCTTGGTAAAAGCAGGTCCTGACTCTGTAAGTTTGGATTGGAGCCTTTGACCTTGTCTCTAACAGCTTCAGGTCATGCTGATGCTGCCGGTCCTGGGACATGCTTTTAGTTTAAAAGATGAAGTACAAGAAGGATTTAACCAAAAGAGTATTCAATCAAGCACTGAATGGTGGTGTTAATGCTTAAAGACACAGGGAGTAAATGCTACCCTTGTTTAATTACATTTTTAGGAGTATTTATTATGATGTATAGTGTTCATACCTAATCGTCTAAATTAAGCATTTTTTTCTTATTTTAGAAAATTCTTAATTGAGACACCACTCTTTCAGCTGACCACACCTATTAAAACACCAAGCTATTTGGACTTTCAGTCATTAGGGTAAAGCCCTGAGTGGTATTCTAAATGTGGGAAAGCTCCCAGAAGCCTTGGGAGTGAGCTAAGCTTTTAAACCTAAGCATATTAAGGGACAATAAACACTATAGTGACTTAAAGTAACTTTTAAGACAGGGGCCTGTCAAGCCAGAGTCTCTAAACTACTAAGAGATGAGCCTAGCACTCAGATTGTTTTTTAAAAAAACAATATGAGTATTTTTGGCAGGATAATTCTTCATTTTAGGGACTGTCTCATGCATTGCAGAGGGTTTAGTAATGGAATTAAGTACATTAGCTTTTCCCAGGTATTGTGACAACTAAAATCACCACACACACACACACACACACTTATAAAATCCAAATCTCTCCTTAAGAATCTCTGTTGTTTTGAATTTGTATATGTATATGTATATACACATACATACACAAATACATAATCTTAATTATATATTAGTATAATAATTAGTAGGCGTGACCATTTGGTACTGAATATGGCTAAGAAAATTGCCTTTTCTGTCATTTGGGGATTTTCAGAAAGCCAGTGAGACCAAGTTCAAGTAGAGGTTTACTGAAGGTCACCCTGAAAAATAAAGGAAGGGGAAGGGGATCGGGCAGGGAGAGCCTCAGTCAATAGTCAAGGTGGCCTGTTAGTGGAGTCCTGCAGGAGGCAGGACTGCCAGGCCCTGGTGTCCCCACAGCTGCTGTGCTCATTGACCTGGGGAGAGTAGGCCTTGGCCTGGGAACCAAGGCAGATAATGAAGGTGCTAGAGGTTGCCAGCTAACCACATCCCGCTAGCTTAACAGCAAGTTCTTAGAAGTTCTGAGTAACACACTGCTGTGAATTTTTTTATCTCTTAAATTGTTTATTCCACGTGGGGTTAATCTTTAGTTACCAAATGTAATTGAGAATATTTTTTCTTTAGGTATAAATGAATTAGAGGAGCTGCTGAAAGACATATCATTGAATACTAAAATCTAAAGTCTTAATTACTTTTGTTTTTTACAAAATAGTGTTGAAATAGCTCTGCAACAAAATGAAATCATGAACACATTTGTTGATGACTGGAAATGCTTGGCAGAAGAAGAAAGCTCCTTTGGGGACAAGACCGATACCCACCTAAAGGAGTACCAGTCCTTTACCGACCTTCATAGCCTAACAGAGAAAATGATCACCTGCGTCTCATGGCATCCCGATATCTATGGTGAGATGGGAGAGACTGTGGTTCCCTTTGTGATGACATTGAAATAGTCTTTTGCTTTTATGTATAAAACTCCAAATTAGCTCAATTTCAGTAAGACGACTTCCATTTGCTGAGTGCTAAGCACCTGCCAAAAGCTTTCTTTCCACAATTTCTCTTGGCCCCTGTCCTCCCAGCCACCTCGTGGGACACCCACTGTGACCTCTGCTTTACAAGGAGAGGAACAAAGCTCAACTCTAGGAAGTGACTGGCTCAGGTCTTCCAGCTAGCCGGTGCAATGCCCAATCTAGATTTGACTCAGGCTTGTTGGACACCAAAGGCTAACTTTATTCCCTCTTGACACTCTGCCTCTCTGCTTACTGGACAAGACAGGAGACACACGTCCTCTAAAGCTCTGAGCAACCAAGGGAGATAGGAATGCGGGAAGGTGGGACTTTAGAGAGAGAGGTCTTTGACCTCTTTCTTCTTCCTTCTCCCCCACATTGGCCTTTTTCTCACACATACCCACAAAAAAACTACCGCATTTTTTTTCTTACTGAATCTTCAAAGTCCAATGTTTATTTTATACTAACGGTACATCTCAATTTGGACCAGGCATATTTAAAGTGCTAACTGACACGTGGCTACTGGCAACCATATTAAACAGCAGAACTCTAAGAAAACCCTTGGTCTCCTGTAGAATATTTTTACTCAAGTTTCATCCAAAGGGAAATGAACAGTGACTGTAGAAAAACAAAACCTAAAACACTTCTCCGTGGACAGTTGCTGCAGATCTCCATTTCTAATTGTTCCAATCAGGGCTAATAGCTGTGTCGGTGGCCGTGCGACTCTCCTTTGAAGAAAGAGTCCATTTTTCTGGTAAATTATTGCTGCAACCATCACTAATTCTTTTCTGGAGTTTCTCCGATCCCATACATCCTCAGGTATGAAGGAGAGTTGTCTGCATAATCTAAATATTTTAAATACTACTTTCATGTGTTTCTTTAGTAGTTTCAATTGCAAAGTGCTTTATAATCACTTAATGTTGTAAACCCTTATAAAGTCATACTTTCTTCATTTGGAATGTATCATCATTCAGTTTGAGCAAAACTAAAGTCGACAGTTTATTGAAAAGGTTTATTGAACAAATTAACATGTTATTTTTATTTTTGACTTTTTATAAGAGTTTATTTGGGCCAACTGACCACACATGCCAGGGAGCAAGTTCTCGAATGCTCCTCAATATGTTATTTTTTTAAAAAAATAATATAAGCAGAATGTTCAATTGATTTTAAAGAGCAAATTCTTTTATGGGTCTTATTTAGATACTAATTGTTCAAATGCAGACAGATTTTAGTTTCACGTGAACTTCTTCAATTCCAAGGGTCACCAATAGGTGACGGTAATGAGTAAAGACAATTGTGTGGGAGAGCAGTGGGGAGCAGTGGGGACTGTGGCCATAGAGGGTACACAGCCCGTCTATGGAGACAGCTACACTTCAGCTCTCTTGTTGCCAGGTGGTTCCACTTGTCGAGAGAATCCAACAATTGGGAATTTTGTGTGACATCTCTGAATTTTTAAATAGCTATTCCAAAGCCCAACCAAAACACGCAAAAACACCCACTCGAACCAAACCAAAACATGTAGCAATCCAAATAAAATAAGGCTGAAGACTGAGTTTGCCCTGCGGGGTTCTATCTCCAATATCTGCTCAAGAAGAGTTCCGCTAAGGGGAGCACATTTTGTAGGGTTAGATGAATTTTTTTCAATTTACTGAAGTATAATGACTTTTTGTTTCCTTAAAGTATTATATAATTAAGGCTTCCCCTAATAAACCTTAGCCTCTTCTTATTTCTTCTCCCCTAATTCATCTGAATTAAGGCGGTTTTATTGTAACAGGCTAGAAACTTTAATTATTATGGACCCAGAAATCAAAACAGCTCTCTAGTTCTTTCTTATAAGCCAACTTACACAGAAATGCTGCCATTCTCTTCTGGAGTTTTGTGTCATTTTCTCGTAGTGTAGAACTACTTTCCACTCCACGCCATGGAAGTGTGCCTGAACTTCCAGGCAAACAGAAAGAAGAAAGACTCTTCTTTCCACTATTTTGAAGCATAGCTTTAAAAAGACAAGCAAATAATTTCTTAAAGAAATAATGTAAATGATATGTTTTGCCTTTGTTCTAATCAAAACTACAGGAGAGTATAAAAAGATTTTATTTTCCAAAGTAGAGGTTTCTCTAGGATCCACAGAGTACGAAATTGACTGAGATAATTCACCCAATTTCAGTTTTCAATCTTTAGCTCAGTGGTGGCAAACCAATGGCCTCTGGGGCCTATAGTTTTGGTAGTTATGTTTAAAGAAGAACAGTAACCAGGCAAGTGTTTTTGCTTGGTGGTAACCCAGCAGGCAGGTGCCAACTATGGTTACTACACCTGCTCCTCACACCAGTGTATTCATTACAGGGCTTCCTTTCTACCCCTCAAGCACTTAAGTTTGTTTATCTTCTGATTTCTGTATTATTTTAAAATTTGAAATATTATCACTAGCAGTAACTTCATCTTCTCTCATTCAACAAATTTTATTTTTTCTTGCACACTGTGTGCCAGGCTAGGTGTATAGCAGGGAACAAAACAAATATGCTTTCCCAAAGCTTACTTTCCACACTTTTCATAACATTTATTTTATGGCTTTTTGTTTATAAAAAAATTATATGAGATGACCTATGGAGAGTGGGGGAGAAGAGACCTGGTTTCCTTGAGAACATACCTGCTCTCCTACGCATGGTCATTGTCCACAATGAAATTCAACAAAAGCAGCTTCTAATTCAGAGGTAGAATTCTGGGAATGAATTTGCTGTGCATGTTTCTTATAGATAGCTATAAAATTCGACTTTGACTATCTTATTATTTTCTAGCCATGGTCTTAATAGGTTTTCTCACTCTCTCTTGAATTTATGGGGTTTACCTTAGTTAATGCTGGAGAGCCCAGATGACATCTTCTGCTTCAAGTTCTGTCCGACTAACTCCAATATCATTGCTGGAGGCTGCATAAATGGGCAAGTATGTATGGATTTTTTTTTCAACCGCTTATTAATTTAGATACCATTCTGTAATGTATTTTGATTGGTAAATTTTTTAAATAATTTTTTTTATTTTTCAATCGTAGTTGACATACAATATTATATTAGTTTTAGGTGTACAATGTAGTGATTATACATTTATATAACTTATTAAGTGATCACCCCAATAAATCTAGTGCCCATCTGACACCATACATAGTTATAAAATATTATTGACTATATTCCCTATGCTATACTTTACATTCTCATAATTGGTAGGTTTGTGAACTTAAGGATTCAAGCCAGCAGAAGGAGTCCATGCCAATTGTATGCCAATTACCATGCCAGGAACTAGGATATAAAGATGTATTGGGTCATAAGAATTTTAAAAAATAAAATAAAAATTTTAAACCTGCCTACTATAAATAAATGAATGAATGAATGAATGAATGATATTGGGTCTTGAGGTATCTACAGGGTAACCCAGTCATGATAACTGGAACAAAACCAGGTCAAATCTATTTGTGTTGCTGAGATAGAACATAACATTGTACAAGATTTTACGAAGAACAACCACCAAAAACCACACGCATTAATACCTTTTGGTCAAGGGGTCTTTTTTTATATATAATTTAAGTTATCTAATTTATACAATTTATATAAAATTACATCCTATCTTCCAATTGCCTGTTCCTCCAATATAGCAAAACAAAAATCTTAAAGCTATTTTATGATCTAAATGAAAACTCATTGTGAAATCCAGTGAATTTGACCATTAAAAGGATATACATTCTTTTTGGTGAGGCTAGTAAAACTTCCTTGTGGTTAAAATTTAAATATCTGCAGCATCCATGCCCATTTATCCAGAACCAAAAACATTCAGGAAAACAAATTTTCTTCCTCAGTTGAATAAGAACTGGTGGTCATAATGATGACCCAAGAGACTATGCTCCGAGCCCTGCAAATCCGGATATGTCTTTTTCACTCATGACAAAACACTCACTTTTAGAAAAGCAAATGATGAAATTAAAAGCACTCATAATTCTGTAATCTTGACATTTTATTAACATTTCAGTGTACTGAAGTGACTTTTAATTATTGAAAATTAATCTAATTTAGTGTTGCATATTTGACTTTATCCTGATTTTTTCTAAAAATGATCGTTCATACATAATCAAATTTGGAGTTGGCCATAATATCCAATTAAGTAGAAATCATCATTTCTTAGCCTTTTTGGACAATTGGTTGTTTCTATTTAATTCTGAAACACAGGCTGTTTCTCCTGCGTCTAAAGCAGTTGTCTCCACAAGCACGTTCCCCCCAGAGAATGAATGCTTCCTAAAGCAGAGGGTATTACATGATGCTTATCTTGTATTTTAAAAAAATGCTAGCATAAATTCACACAACCACCAAAATCAAAGTACCGAAAATACTTTTATAGAGAAGAAAACATTCTTTTTATATTAGTTTTAAAAAGTTGCTGAAATACCCTAAGATGTAGGCTAAGCTTGATTATCCTCTAGGGTGATTGATTATTAGAGTGGATACCAATACAAGTAAGTTAAAGAAATCTTTAGTCCTGCAAAAATGTTGTAATAACATTCATTTCTGTTTCAGATTGTCATGTGGGATATTACCGCACACGCAGAACGCATAGAAAACATTAAGACGGGTGGTAGTAGAAGTAAAAAAGCCACACTCAAGGTTAACTTTTTACAATTTTTCTCTTGGAAGTTTTCTTTTCCATTTGGAAGTTTATCAGAAAGTGTTAACAGAGTTGCAAGCTAAACAAAACCTTGATAGAAAATAAAAGTGTTATTTTCCAAGCGTTCGCATCTGCTGTGGACGTTGTTCTGAATCATTTTATACAGGCCCTTGATTAAAAACACCACAGAACAGATTGCACTCTCTATCCCAGGATGTTAAATTCTTTTTTGTTGTTATTGTCCTTAAATAAAACAAAGGGATCAAGAGAGTTGCCGAAAGTGATGTCATTGAAAGAGCACTGTACCCAGGATCTGGATTGTAGTCCCTGTGAGTTCCCACATGTCTCTCGCCTCAACAAGCATCAGTTTTCTCATGTATAAAATGAAGGGTGGACAACTCTTTCTGATAATAATATACCATGATTTTATGAAGCTGCGGATTCTGCCAAAAAGTTTAGAAAAAATTTCCTCAGCTCCTAAGTCAATACTTACCCACTTTTGTACATCTCCATCCCTATGTCTTCAACCTCAACATCAACAAGTCTCTCACGGAAAACAATGAGATGTGGCCTTCTGTGCAAGCAGAACACACACACACACACACACACACACACACACACACACACAGATGCAAAACACACACACACACACACACACACGCACGCACACACATGCACAAACTCCTTCAAAAATGGGCTCTCATTGATTCTTTAGGATGTGGGTCAACGATTTTTGTTATGATACATAGAAACACTAATTTATGCTTTTCCTTGACCTACTATTTCTCCAAGTTATTAATTTTAATTAGAATGGTGAATAAAGTATGAGTTCATTTGTCAGCTCTGAAGTTAGCACATAACTTTTTAAAAACATTTTTCCAGCCCATGTTTCTCCTTGAACCAGACAGTAATAAAGAAGCAATGTATATCAGACACAGTGCAGTCTCTTCAATAGAAAGTGGACATAAGAAAGTGATTACAGATATACATTGGCTGTCTGACACATTTGAGGTGAGTCTTAATGGCTTCATAGTTTTCTTCTGGATTGCAAATTTTTGAAAGATTTATTTTAAAGCCAATACATTTATATTTAAATTGTGCAATAACCATGAACTGGGCATTAAACAGTTGTGTCACTGTTACCAGACCAATACCTGAATTGGGAATGAGAGTAAGGCCAATGTTTCAAAGTCCATAGTTTAAAAAGCACTAAAACATGTAGGTGGTGTCAACATTAATATAATATAATATAATAGAGAAAATGAGGGAGTTGTGATATGTAAAAATAGAGTGTAAATAATTTACACCCTTAGCCTTTACAGATTTAAAATGTACAATGTCAGCTATTTGGAGCAGGCCACTCTGAAGATCTGCGACATATAGTCATATGTAACTTTGCCAAGGAAGCCTTGAATTGAGTGTGCTTTGAAGCTGGTAGACAAAAACCAGTTGTTCAGTGAGTGAACCCAGCTGACTGCCCAGCATTTGCAATGCAATTTGGCTCTGGGATTCTGTACTTGACTCACTAAGTCAGGTGCTGGCAAATTTGGAAACTGGTATGCTCCCCAAAGGTTTCACTCAAGGACACTAAAACTTTAGTATGTACTTTGAAGAATTAACAGGAGAGAATAGTTATGAAAGGTGATTAGCCTTTTGAGGTATTCAAATGGATTATGCAAAGCAACAATACTTTGAAAAGTTATAATGGACTAAAATAAATAGCCCAGGTATAGTTTCTGTTATCTATAAAAGTTTAACATATGGGAATGGAAGTTATAACCCAAGAGAAGGAACTCCATTTCAACTCACATCATACACACAATTTAATTCAGGAGATTATAAATTTAAATAAAAATAACAAATCACAGGACAATTATAACAAATCAGATCAGAGTATCATGTTTCTGGAATGGGGATAATTTTCTAAACTAATTAATGTTGAAAGACATTCCATACACATCATCTATATATTATAAAACTATTAGAATCAATTCTTGAGTACACAGATAAGCATTCAGATTATAATTTCAGTATAGAAAGTTTACACATGCCAATTAAATCTATGTAAAAATGTTTCTGTGAAAAAAAAAAAAAAAAGGCCTGGAAAAGATATATGGCAGAATTGTATTTTATTTTAAAACATATTTTCCAATTTCTGTGTTAGTGTTATGCTCTTTTAATAAAAGTTAAAATAAAAAAGAAAATAAAAAATGTAAAAGCTATGAGAAAAAAGTCAGTACTATTCTAGGTACACAAAACTTACTTCTTGCATTTTTTAAAAAACAGATTAACAGAATGGGCTCCGTCTTTGAGAACAGAAGTGAGATATGCTGTCAACTTGTTACCTGTTCAGCAGATTGGTATGTCTTATCTTAAACATTACCTAATGTGTTTTCATATGATATATTCTTTTTTCTTAGATGCTTCTAAAATCATTTTATTCTTCTGTTCCTTAAATGAACTTTATCGTAGTAATTGGACCTAATATAACTAAAGGAAAGAATGTTGTAGATTGTTGCTGGTTAAAAAGATCTTTGCATAGATATAAATATGTTGTAAAAAAGAACTAACTTGATTTTGTGGTTGCTAGTGTTGTATAACATTATCTACAGTTATTCTGCTTCTTCACATTCTCATCTTTGTAAATTTACCATTTGTGTTGTTTATATTCACTTTAACTCACAACTATGAAGATCATAACATTTAATTTGAAAAGCTGCTTTTCAAAAGTTAAAGAGCTTTAGATTTTTATTGCATATTCATAAAAAGTTTTTATAAACAATTTGGTAACTATAGTGAAGAACATTTATTTTTAAAACGTGCATCTCCCAATTTATAGAACTAAAAATTCATAATGAAATAGGAAACATGAAGAGTAATAGTATTACCTAGCATCCAAATACTGACAAAACTTTACCATTGCAAATAGCTTTGACTCTAGTAGAAACAATGACACCTCAAGCCATAGACTCTGACAGCAGCAGAAGCAGCTGTGGAGTGACAGGTGAAGGCCATAGACTCTGACAGGCATAAGTAACAATAATAGGGGGTTGGGGAGACATTTATCCTGTGGGCATGTATTGGGTAAGATTCTGTGACTGCAAGCAACAGAAATTGACTATGGCTAACTAAAAGAGACAAAATTAAATTTATTGGAAATACATTTATTGGACGTTTATGCCAATACTCTACTAGATGCTTTCATAGGTTAATTTTTTTTTTATTCGCAACAACCCTGAAAAATACTTATAGATAGAGGAAATGAGGATCTGAAGGCAAAGACATTATCTACCTCTAGTTCACTATACATAGTGAATTCTATGTACGATTATATCCTGCTGTAGCTACTAAGTAATAATGTTGCTGAATCAGGAGAAGAGGTGACTCAAGCCTCAGAAAGAGCCCTAGGGATTCAGGTAGCAGGAATAAGTGGCCAGCCCCTTGGAAATGAATGAATCGGTTCTCACTCTTGTGTCATTAGAGAGTCTGACTTCTGTTACATCCATCATTAACTAACCCCTTTGGCCAAGGAAGGAATAGCAGAGCGCCTTGAGTGACAGTTTCAGCCTGACTGCATCCAAGAGGAAAGGAACATTTCTCTCCAAAACAATTAGAATGCTTTTGCCATTAAAAAAAAAAGAAGAAGAAGAAAATAGGCAGGTGGTGGTGGGGAGCATTGCTACCCAGGCAAAAGCAGACATGGCACCTATAGGGCTATATGTAATATTACACAACAATGAAAACTGTATTATTTCATGGAGAAGTGCTTACTGCATAATACTGATTGTAAACAACAGAATGCAGAGCTCTACTGTTCTTCAGTACCCGAGGAAAACATTTAGGAGCATTAAACAGACTAAAAATATTACATGTTCTTTATGGAAGACACAGATCTTTGTTGTTTGAAAATATTCTGGAGTATTTTAAAAATAGTTCCTTCAAAAGTTGTTGAAATAAAAAAAAAAGATTTATGCATCTAGAAAAGCTGGCTTTTAGTTATCTAGAAAACTCATCCGTCCTAACCTTTATATTTTAACCATGCTAAAGGTCTTAGAATATAGAATAAGATAAAATAATGTTCCATCAATTAAGAATGTGTGACTGATTTATAAGAAAATTTCAGGTGAAGATATATGTACTTAGCAAAAGCAATTCACAAATAATGCAACTTAATGGCATAAATCAGATTCAAGAAGAGCTATGTAATTTTAAAAACAGTTTTACATGAACTATAATTATATTTTTAAACAGATCTTATTACATCATTTGTAGTATTCTCCCAATGATTTGTTTTGACAACATAAAAATGATTAATATTTTTATTAATCTTAATAATTTCTTAATTTAAATCTCAAAATTTTATCAAATTAATTACTTAATTTTTATTTTAACTATGTATTCATTAAGATGATTATTAAATGATTAGTTAATTCACATAAATAAATGCAAGTTTCGTTACCCTTACTTTAGTTACCATCCATTTACCTAAATACACACATATCTAAATAATATCTTAAGTTTATTAAATCAGGTTACCCATAACTTCAGTGATAGAAATTATGGAATGAATATGGCATGTTTTTGTGTCTTTCATCATATGTTTTTATATAATTACTACAAAGACAATTTTATACTAAAGTACTGCACAAGTTTTATTATATATTTTTTTACCAAGTTTATTGCACTGAAAATAATACTCTATGTATGCAAAAAATTTTATAAAGAATTTTCACATACATTATCTTATCTGATTTTTATGATCAACCTGTGAGGTTAGAGAAATAAGAGGAGAAATAACACATTGAATGCCTACTATGTAAAAAGGCACATTAAACCCAGCTCAACCTGTTCATGTGTTTTCACTCTATGTATATATGTATATATGTAAATGGGGAGTGACTGCTAATCTATTCAGGGTTTCTTTTGGAGGTGATGAAAATCTTCTAAAACTGTTTGTGTTGATGGTTGCACAACACTGTGAATATATTTAAAACCAATGAATTGTGAGCTTTAAATGTGTGAATTTTGGTGTATATGAGTTATATTTCAAAAAAACTGTTATGTTAAAAAAAAGATTGCATCAATCTCCAAATTCAATTGTCAGATTTGATAATATTAGACTCAAGACCAGCATAGTTATTAAATAACCTTGTGAACTGTATAATTTTCTAAAATACAAAATGCAGAATAATTTCATTTTATAAAAATTTTAGTTTCAGAGATATTAAAATATAGCCATGATCACATTGCTAATGTGTAGAAGTAAGAATAGTAGTCCTAACACTTCATCTCTTATTTGTACTTAATAAAAAAATAAAATGTAAACTTTTTTTTAAAGCACAATATGTTTTTGGGATATCAGACCACAGAAAGCTTCAACTCCCCAACCAGTAGAGAAAAAGAAAGAAGAAAGTATTGAAATTCCTCTTGATATACCATCTACTTTTTTGCATCTAGATCTCTCTTGGAAACCTCTCTCTAAGGTGAGTAACAGGATTTATTCCATCCTATTTGCTTACATACATAATTTATGTTATAAATTACATATATAACTTATGTGCATAGACATACATACATCTTAAAAGTAGAGCAGCTCAAATTAACATAGGACTTTACAATTCATGTATCCGTTCATCCAATAAATTCCTTGATCGAGTTACTATGATGCCTGCTTACATCAAGCTTAAAATTATTGTGAACTTGAAATTAATATTCATTCCTGTATAAACAGGCTACAATCTACAAATAGTTTGCATGATAATTATTCAATTGCATATCAGTGGCTTGAAAATTGGTAGGCTCCTACGTTAGCCTGAAAAAGCTGATTTTACCTCTACTGTAGCCATAATTCTGGATATTTTGCACATCAGTAGTAGGAAACAATATCGTAACACCTATGACCCAACAAAACTGAAAAGTAATTGAACAAGAAATTATTTGTTCTTACCTCGAATGGCAGAGCTTCAAGAAAAGCAATTTTAATTTAAGAAAAATATGGCCGTAGTGGGATGTGTGTAGAAAGTATGAATGAACTCTGATGTTGATGGCTCTCTTTTTTTGGAATGTCTAATTCTAATTCCCAACTTAATACTTATATTTTCCTTTGTTTTATAAGAATCACTAGAATTACATTATTATGTATTTGCTTCCAATAAAAGAGAAAGTATGGAGGGATGAGAATTTTCCTGAAATAACTGTGATTAGAAATTAGAGGATTAGAAATTTTCTGGGCTAAGATTCACTGAGTTGTAAATAGTTAAAACAAAACAAAAACAAGCAAACAAAAACTCACCTGAGAATAAGTGTATAGCATATGGGCAAACATCCTGATGGAGAAAAGTAGGGAGGGAGCCATGAGGGAAAAATGTCAAGTGCAACCATTTCCCATTCTGGTGCAGACCCAGGGCCCTTCTGGAACTCAAGAGGCACATATGTTCCCGAGGGGACCTGTAAGTGCCAAGCGGATGCAAAGTCTCTGCACATGTTTCTGGAGCTTCGTTTAACTGAAAGAATTAGGAAACAGGGAAATGAGTCATTATTTTATATTAAAACCAATAAGAATGTGTTATGGAATAGAATACAAAATATTTTCAACCTATGGCCATGCTGCCCTGAACACACCGGATCTCGTCTGATCTCGGAGGCTAAGTAGGGTCGGGCCTGGTTAGTACTTGGATGGGAGACCACCTAGGAAGACTGGGTTCTGTGGGCATAAAAAAAAAAAAAAAAAAATTTTTTCAGAAATTAAACCATACATGAGATTTGCTTGGGGATTTTGGAAGTGAGTGCCCACACAAACTCCTTTCAGTAGCACAATTTTAAAAACTGTTGCTTAGGTGGTTTCCTTGGGGAAAAGCAACTAGAAATCTGAGGAAGAAAGGCAAAAGGGAGAATAACAGGGAGGTGGAAAACAGCAATCTGGGAACAGAAGGAGAAAACAAGAATAATTTAAAGATATATGGAAATAATCTCTCTTGTATATTCTCTCAAAAGATAAGGCTGTCTAAAGGTGAAACAAGTTTAGACCACTGCCCAATCAAGATAAGCCTGAGTGAAGACCATCTCCTTCACAAAGCACAAGGTAACGCCTTTGCTTATTAAAAAGGCATTTAATAGTTTAAGTGTTAATGGCTCATTATGTCTAGGGTTACTTGCTAGGATAGTGTAATTTTTAAAAAGAATACAGAAAATCGAATGCTCCAATATGGAACTTTACAATGGCTATAATAGCTACAGCTAGCACATTAAAACTGTCTACACACACAAAAAGATTTGACAGAATTCAGTTCAAATAGTTTCAGAAACATTTACTGAGCACATTTATGTATTTTTGAAAACTTATTACATTAAAAAATTTTAATGAAGCCCACTTAATGAATGTATATATATGTGCTCAAAGAATAATTCTAAAGAATGGAACATATCTCAAGTCTAGTAAAAATAAATTATGAAGTACTAAGAAACAAAATTACCATTCTCAATCAGAATATGATAGAAAAATTAATATTTATATAGCACCATGATAAAACTGAGTAGAGAAAAAACAGTTGACTTTTAAATCTATCTCAACTCAACCTATATACCTTTGTCGAAGTAATTGAAGGATATATAAACAGCTATCAAAACTACTAAAATGAAGATGCACATGAACATCCCACCTTGAAAACAATGCATAATGGAAATGTCTAAGAATCACCAGTGGCTATAGTATTTTCCAAACATTTACCTTATGAAAAGGATTTCCATTTATAAAATTTTCAGTCTTCAGTTAAATGATGGGACATCTAAGAAAAACATATTATGTGTCTAATACCCAGCTTGGGCAAAACTTACTTTGAAGCCTTGTATTTTGTAGATACAACCCAAGACCTCGTGCTAAAAAAATGGAATCACTAAATTTTTGTTTACATTTTCAAAGTAATATTAAAACATTGCATGTTTTATATTATGGGCCTGTTTCATTCTAGAGAGAATCTAAGGTGAGTTCCCTCCTCCTCTGTTTGTATTCGATTATTGGTTACCCAGCCAAGGCTCAGGTACTGTGCTAGCAGTACATGTGCTTTCACTCATTTAGCAGATATTTATGGAGTGCTTATTTTCTACTAGACCCTGAGGGTACAACAGGGAATTTTCATTATCATTTTACAATTAAGAAAACAAAAAATGAGAGAAGTTAATGTGACTTGTAAAAAGATAATTTATTAAATGTCCTAATATTATTTTTTAACCTAATGAAAAGAGATGATCATGAGGATGTCACTGCTTTCATCCAGTTTATGGTAAAGATATCATTATATCTTTTAAACAACTTTATTGAGGTATAAAGACATACAATAAAATGCACGTGTTAAAGTGTTCAATTTAATATGTTTTGACATATTAAAAACCCATGAAACCCTCACTATGATCAAGATAATGAACATATCCATCACTCCCAAAAGTTAACTCATATAGGGATTCCTTTCATAATCCCTCTGGCACCTCCTTCACTTTTACCCCCAAGCCACCGCTCATCTGCTTTCTGTCACTATATATCAGTTTGCATTTTCTAGAATTTTATATAGATCATACAATATGTACACTTTTTTTGGTCTGGCTTCTTTCAATCAGCGTAATTATTTGGGGATTCATCCATGTTGCTATGTGTATGAATAGTTTGTTCTTTTTTATTCCAGAGGAGTATTTCAATGTGTAAATATACCACACATGTCTACCCATTCACCTGGTGAGGGACATTTGGATTGTTTTCAGCTTAAGGCTATTACAAATCAAGTTTCCATGAATATTCATATACGGGTCTTTGTATGGACTTATGCTTTCATTTGTCTCGAGTAAATACCTAGGAATGGAATGATTAGATCATATGGTAGGTGTATGTTTAACTTTTTAAGAAACTACCAATGTTTTCCAAAATGGTTGTACCATTTACATTCCCACCAGCAGTGTATGAAGGTTCCAGCTTTTCCACATCCTCACTAATGGTTGGTATGATTAGTCTTTTTAATTTAACCATTCTATAATGTGTGAAGTGATATCTCATTTACTTTTACCTAATGACTAAAGGTGTTGAGCTTCATATTATTTTAGATATATAACTATTCAGGATTATAATATCCTCTTGATGAATCAGTAATATCCTTTACTCTGAAATCTACTTTGTCTAATATTACTATAGCTATCCAGCTTTCTTTTGACTAGTGTTAACATGGTATCTTTTTTTATCCTTTGACTTTTTACCTATTAGTGTCTTATACTTGACATGCATTTCTTGTGGGTCCTGCTTTGGTTTAGGCAAGAGAGCTTAAGTCCAGTATAATTGCTCCATCAGAGCTACAAGCAGAAGACTCTCAAAAGTGTGTTTTAAAAAATTTGTTATGAATTATGACTGTATCTTTTTTTAAAACAAGTGAATTTAACATTAATGTCTTCAAGTGAGTGTAATGCCTGTTGATCCTTTATTTCTTTACAAATATTAGACTAGTAGGCATGTCTTTCTGAAGACTGCCTAAATATGGTTCCATTTCAGAAGATAAAGGCCTTTTTTCCCCCTAAAAGATGTTCGTAAAGCTAACTGTTGTCAGGACTGTTACATAAAAATACTGCAATATTTTAATTTTTTAAAGAATATTTTTACACTGTCATCTCCATATTTATATCTGTGTTTATCAAAAACATTTATTAAACTCCTGCAAAGTGCCAAGATCTGAGGATATAACTGTGAATAAGACGTGTCTCTCCTTTCACAGAGTTTACATTCTGGTGGGATAGACACTAAAACACGTAACAAGTATATACCTATATCTACTTAAGGAAGGGCCTATTTAAGAGAACCTAGAACATACCTCAAATGTCATCAAACAGGAATACTCATCAAATGAATGTTCTCTTTCCATACAAAGTTATTTTTTGGATGTTTCTTAGAGAAAGGCATTTTTGGCTAAATCAGTTCATAAGGGGAATGGACACATGGTTTTTGATTTATAGCTGAGACTCTAGTTGGCCACATCCCCTTATGTGTGTCCAGTGGTCCACCTTGCAGACAATCTCACAGGTCCTGAAGAAAATTAAATTTTACTTGGTAACCCCATGGGCCTTGCAAACATATGCCTCTTATCTCCAAAGGCAGTTTCTGTGGGCACGTCCTGCCTCCTGTGTAGACAGCCCACTTTGGGGAGACTTATTTGAGATCTAACTATGGTATTTTGGTTCTCCTTCAGACACACTGCCAGCTCTCCACCTACCCTAGCCAGACTTGGACCTGTTAACTAGAATACACACATATGCCTTTTCATCACTTCTTGCTTATTGACCCTATACTGGTTCTTCTAAGACCGTGAATCAGCTATTCCAGGCTATTCTGCCACCCCATTCTCAAGTCCTCCAGAGGTCTCAGCATCAGTGTCTGGTACTCTGTTGCCATCTAGTGGCCACAGGCGCTTCACCTTTTGCCTGCCATTTTAAGGTCATAATAGTCAGTGCCCTTCTAGGTAGTAGTTACTTTAAGTTCTGTATTTATTCCAAAAAGGAAGACTTTGCTGTAAATGGTTTTGAAATTCCTCATTTGAAATTGCCTTTAGAGCTGCGTCATCTTCTTCTAAGCAATGTAGTGTAATGGTTAAGAGTGTGGATTTTGGAGTCAATGGTTTGGATTTAGATACCAAGCCATGATTTACTATTTGACCAGGTCAAATGACTTTACCTCTCTATGACTTAAATTTTTGTTTGTTTGTTTGTTTGTTTGTTTGTTTAACCAGTTTGAAAAGAGAAAGGGGAAGGTGGGGGGTGGTGATAAATAATAAAGATAACTACCTCATAGAGTACTGTGAGAGACTCTATGGACTCACGATAAATGTTAGCCACCAGGCGTGAGACCTTGGGCAAGTTACTTAACCTCTCTGAGCCTCAGTTGACTCATTCATTGTACTGTTTACCTGAAACTAATGTTTAACCATCTCAGGAGTTATTGTGAGGATTGAATGAAATGGTTCATGAGGAGCGCACGGTTTAGTGCCTGGCATGTGGTAAGCCTTCAACAAATGTTAGCTGCTATTATTATCACTATCCCTGGTGATAGAAGGTCCATGACCTATGGGATGATGTTGATTTAATAAATATCTGAGTTACTGCAGTCAAGTCCGAGTACATGGCAGTCGATAACATTTTTCTCTGGTCTCCTCCTCTTTGACTCTATTACATTAAACACTGTTGACTAAGCCTCTTTTCTTGAATTTGTGAATTTTCTGGTACTTCTTCAGTTTCTCTCCTCTGTGTTCTTTCCTGGCCCCATTTTACCTTGCTGCCGCCTAATCATTGGATGTACCCCAAACTCTAAGCTCATTACACTCTCCCTTTGGTTACATAGTCTACACTTATCACTGCCAAGACTCCTCCACTAACTCTTTCCTTCTCCTGGATTTGAACCTAATCTTTTCCCTCAAAGTCAGTATCTCCAGAACAGAATTGGAGTCACTCCTGACTCCTCTGGCTCTTCATGTCCAGTCTCTCACTCACAATAATTAAGTTTTCATTCACAATGCATTTCACATCTGCATTTTCCTTTATATTACTAGTAGTGACCCCTGGATCAGACTCTTGTGTTCCCTTGTCAGACCAGAGGGCTCCAAATTTTTCCATCTCGCACCCCATCAGGAAACCATTTTGAGCACATACTCCCAATAAACATGTATTTAGTTACAAATTATATACATGTTCTACTCTATTCACTTATTTATGTACGTTATTTAAAAATAAAAAAAGACATTAAAATGAGAGTGAAGAATTTGAAATAAATACTTTAATAACTTTAATTTTATATATTAAATAGATATTAAATGCCTTTTGTTCTTGCTAAATGCATTATGAATATCTTTCAGTAAAAACAATGTGATCGAATGTGCCTAGTTATTTCTGAAATGTTAACTGACAGTTTGTAATACAGCTATTTAAAGATCTGGTTTCACGTTTGGCTTAACTCTGACACTCGTTTTTAAATGTTTTACCTAAGGGGAAAAGGGCCCCCTCAAAACATGTAGATCCCAAACAATGGAAGTGTTGGTAACTGTACCTACTAAATCATGATAATTATTTTTTACTTTTGTCCAGAATTATGCTAAAGATATTTTGAAATGCAACATATATTCTTAATATAGCTGAAGTCTCCTCCTATTTTAGTTTTCATTGAAATGTTTGCTGGCTGGTTTTTATGTTTGTTTATTTGTCTTCTCATGGATGATGTAACCCAGAGGCTGTATTGAGATATGGCGAGGAGGGTTTTGTGAGCATATATTTCTCTACCATTTTTCCCAGAAATTTCGTATCACATTTCTTTCAAACTAATAAATGACCTTGGAAAATGTCCAAGATACAGCTTAAGAGAATGGAAAAGCAGGATATAGAAATAAAATACCCAATTAAAAAAATCTATTTAGCCTCACAGAAAAGTAACTAGAGGAAAATATGCCAATATTTTAATAATATTTATCTCTGGGATTAAGATAATGAATAATTTTTGTATTTTTTTCATGCTTTTCTCTTTTTTCCAAAGCTTCAATAAATAACATTTATTAATTTTAGGTAATACAGGCTTTCATTTTAAAACAAAACGACATCAGATAGTTTTAAAAAGAAGTTCCAGATGATGTTGAATTTCAGCCCCCAGATTAACTATGCCCTTACTGTTTGCATGTATAGGTATAGCTATAATATAGTACAATCATTGATATTTATAAATAATAAATCTATTAATCAGAAAACAAATACTATTCCATATTGCGCTTATGACAAACATGTAATATATTTTAGATGGATTTATATTTTTAGAAGTCAAAGGCTAATTTTTATAGGCTGATTTTTTAACTGTTTGAAAAATTTCCATATGATGCCAACTGAATAAAAATGGCATGACTTTATAAATTATATAAATGTCTAACCATTGTACTGTTTACCTGAAACTAATATAAAACACACATACACATGAGATATCTTAGATAACACTATATTCTGATTAGAACAGCTGAAATAAAAAATAGTAAAAAAAATATGACACGAATTTCTCATTAGAAAGTCTTATTGAGAATATCAAGGTGCTTTAACCCTGGAGATCTAGTTGGTGTCCAATTTTTACTGTAAATAATTGTGAAATGACATAAATATATAGAAGTGGTTTTCAGACTTGTGCCATGAAACCTTTTAGAGCCCCTGCAAAGTAGGCAGAGGGTCTCTTCCTTTTCCCCCAGGAAACACTTCAAAGAGCAGTGCAGCTTCTAACTGTTTTTACATGCATGGGGTCCTGCATAAGCTTTGGTTTGGAATAAAAGCATTCTGCTAAATTAGAAGTTTAAAAGCTTGGACTTATGCCCACCACACTGGGGGAAAGAATGGGGCAGATGTGTGTGGCAACGGAAAGAAAATATAAATTAACTATATTTTAAAAGATCTTTCACTGTAAATAGTGCTTCTTCTATCCCTACTCCCCTGCAAGACAAAGTGTTAGCTCAGAACAAAGTCGTAAAGGCAGAAGAGATGAACCCATACCACAACCTGGAGAGTGGGTTGGCCAATCTTCTCAAGCCAATAGAGGACTTCTGCACAAAGTTCTTTGTGGGAACAGAGGTGAGTTGGAATTATTTGCTTTTAAAACTAATATTTTTACTTATATTAAACTATATGATTATAACTCTTATTATATATGTTTGCTTTATGAAAGCTTATAATATTTATACCATTTTCATATTTTAATATGCTTATTTGCACTTAAAATTTTTAACTTCGATACCTCATAGAATCACATTTAAAATGTTCCTGAACAAATATGGAAAAATCTATAAAATTAGGCATGATTCTTTTTACTAATAATGTATTTATCAACCTGTAAGTATTTATTGAACACCTATATCATATGAAAGAAACCATGCTACATCTTAGAGATTTACCAGGAAAATATACCATTTTTTTAGATCAGAAATGAAAAACTCACTCAATTCAAAAAGATAGATAACAACTAGAAATAATAACAATAATGGCTGCCATTTTTTAGTATCTATTATAATAACCAAACCGAGCTCACATTTATTGGACATTTTCTATGTAACAAGGTCTGTGCCAGGTGTTTTCTGAATTATATCTCATTTCATCTTAATAATCCTATAAGGGTGATGTTATTATTCCCATTTTACAGATGAAGAAATGAGGCTCAGAACTTTATCTGACAGTCATACAGAGGCAGAGATGCCTGTTAACTCATGATTCTACTTCCCTGACACAAGGGGTTTTTCTCCCAGGCCGCACAACCATGGGAAGAACCATAGCTCAGTCTAATCAAATGCAGTTTGTACAATGGGATTAGTCAATTCCACCAGCCCTCGAGAATGCACTGCCTGACAGGCTCAGTGCTAGGCCCTAGATCAGAGATGAATCAACAGCACAGTCCCTGTCCTCAGGGTGCTCACTGCCTAGTTAAGGAGCAGATACATTGACTGTGAGCCACGCCTACAGCAGTCCAGAGGCCATAGGTACTGGACGAAGAGTTTGGGAAAGGTGACCTGTAAGCCGGCTGAACATTGGAGGTTAAGGAGGCAGGCACCTGAAAAATCAGGGCGAGAGTACAGTTTGCAGCAGAAATAACAGCCAGAACAATATTTTAAAGTTATGAAAATCCAAGATTTGTCTGGAGATAGTAGAATAGTTTGGTACAAGAGGGAAAGCTATGCCTAGGATGTTAGGTTCGGGTCCAACCAAAGGCCCGTTTTTTCCATGTTAGGTAATTTGAATTTCATTTAGTAAGCAATGGGGTACTACCAAATAGACATTAGTTTTATAACTTGGGCCTCACACCAAAGTTTTTAGATTTTTTTTTTTATTTCTGGAAAAATATATAACAAAATTTACTATTAGTCATTTCTAAGTATATAATTCAGTGGTATCAGAGACATTCGTATCACCATTTATCTCCAGAACTTTTTCATCATCTCAAACTGAAACTCTGTACCCATTAAAACAATAACTCATCATTTCCTCCTGCCCCAGCCCATGGCAACCACCATTCTACTTTGTCTTTATGAATTTGACTATTCTATCAAAAAAGTGATATCATATAATATTTGTCTCTGTGCACACCAAAATTTTAACGCAGGAGAATGACACCTTTAGAAAGATAAATAACTGCAAAATCTTAAAAAATAAAGCATAACACTCTTTGCTTAAATTCTTCAGTGACGACTCAGGGAAACACTAGTAAAATCCAAACTCCTCACACCGTGGCCTATAAGATTCTGCATAACTTGGCTCCTTCCTGTCTCTCCACCCCCATTTAACCTCTCTGAGTCTCAGTTTTTGCATCTATAAAATGGCAGCATGGGACTAAATTTTTCTCTGAACCTCTCCAACCTCAATCTTTAACTGGTTCTGTTTGTCTTTCTCGTTCGTATAGCTATTTCTGCCTCTCCTTTACACCAGGTCCATCAGCTTTCCCCTCTCTTTAAAATGCCTGTAAGTGGAACTGGAATATATATTATTTATTATGTTACTTAGATGGGACTTTATGCTTCCTGTTCTTGACTTTAAAAGGTAATGAGCACCATGTTATAAATTTATGTTCCCTCTTTCTCTCTTATTCCACAAATGTTTGTTAAGTTTTGACTTTGTAACATACTCAGAACTGAGTAAGTTGGACAAAATCCCTCTCCTGCTGGAAGTTTCTGTTCATAAGGACAATTTCCTGTTAACAATAAAATCTTTGGGAACCCAGCAGCTGGAGCTTGTGGGCATAGATTATCTCTGTAACAGCCTGTGTGCTCCATGTCACTGTGTGTAGATAAAAACTCAACAAACTCATTTTTTTGTTTAAGATAAAATCAAGTAATCATTTTGAACCTTTTCCCACCATTGTACCAAATTATCATTTGATTGAATTGATCCATTGCTTTGTATTTGTCAGAATCAATCTTAGCACATGAACATGAGGGTTTTTTTATCTCTTAAGTGGACATTGTACTCATCGGGAACCTGTAATATTTTTAGGAAGGTGAAGTGATATACACAGATTGGAAGATGGAAAGAGACCCTGACACGGGCCGATTGATGGGTAAGTTTTGATGATTGTTCCATTATTAATAAATTGTTCCTTTTTTACAAAGTACTGAGTAACTCTGGCCTTGCTAATGGAAGGGAGGGCACTGAGGTTCTTACTCTACACTCGTTACTCAAAGTGAGAGCCTCAGATGAGCAGCACAGCTGTCGACTGTGCTGAAATACAGAATGGTAGATCCTGCCCCAGGACTACTGAATCTGAATACGAATTTTAATAAGATTCGCCAGGTGATTTGCTTTCACACTAAAACTCGAGGGAGCACAATTTAAAAATAACAATGCCGTTTCAATAATTCAACAACCTGGTAGCTCATCTATGTGGAAAATCTGAGTCAGAGTGACCTTATAAGCTAAATTTATCGTGATCTTGAAGACGTCAGGACAGTATGAGAGCAGTGACTATAGGACCTTCCTTTGAGGCTGTGACTGGTGGTGTCTATGTTTTTTTCTGCTCCCAGGGGCTGGCTTTGGGCAGCTGAGAATAAGTATGAGGGTCACACCCAAGTGTGAGCAGGAATCAGAGTCAAGACTCGGGCTCCCCAACAAGCAAATCTCCACCATCGAAGCCTTGGGGCTCGCTACAATTACAACTACTTACTTTAAAACTTTGGATTTTATCATGGCATAAAAATATATTAGAACCACATTTCAAAGTGTGGAATAACCATAAGCAAAGGAAGAGACAGCTCCTGGGACTGCTAGAACACCGTGGAGCAGTGAGGTGGGGCAGCCAGGCTAAGTCTACACAAGGGAATCTGGTCAATCCTAGGGAAGGTTGGGGCAAGTGGACACCTGAGTGACTGATGAGTTTGGAGGGCAGAGCTATGACTCACAGGGACCAGCTTCTGGAGCTCAGGTCTCCGCCTCAAACATTACTCCCTTCACTTCTATCTACTGAGTCGGGTTCCACAGACTAGAGTTTGCCATAGACCTGGGAAGGCTTGTTTTGTCAGCATTGCCTCCAGGTAGCCATTTTAATCTGGAAACAAAGCATTCCTACTTTTTGTACATAGTATCCCCTGACCAGAAACCCAAATGTGTGTTATAGATAAGACTGGGGCATTGAGAAAGGACTAGATGCGACCCAAGGAAGGGTCAAGTGCACGCAGAACTGAGAATTTTCCACTTTCCATTCATTCCCAATTTATGATTTAAAGTTGAATTTAAAATTATATATTGGATATAATGAATTACATTCAATTACCTTTATGCTTATTCATGTTTCTATTTATTCAATAGTTTACAAATATTAATTGTGCATGTACTGCATGCCAGGCACTATGTAACATGTCAGTAGTCCCCGCAACACTTCTGGGACACAGCTTCATGCCAGGCCCTGGTTACACACAGATAGACACTGATTCCTCCTGGTCCAGAGATTTTCTAAGAGCCTTACCTCCTCCTGCAGTTTCCTAAACTGTTTTTGAGGGGGCCATGACAAATAGAGTTATTTTAAATGAATTTATTCCATTTATAGAATAATCAAGGACAATAAACTTAAAAACCAAGAGCTCTATGTTTGAACCTCCTTGATGTTTTTTTGTTCTTTCTTTCTTACTTTTGTTTATTCATCAAATCATTATTGAGAACCTACTATGTGCCAGGCACTGGGGATATAAAGATGAACAAGATATTATCCTCCCCAGAGGAGTTCCATGATCTATTAGAAACATCAAACACATAAACGAATGATGGCTGATTCTCTTGGGCTATTAAGAAAAGGACCCACTAAAGAGAGATACAGTTGAGCTGGTCCTGAAAGATAGATTGTAATTTTCCAGATGGAGAAAGACATTTCAGGTAAAAAGAGTAACAAGTGCAAAAATATGGAAGCCAAAAAGGCCAGGGGACAATTATGAAACAGGGACATCTCATGGCCAAACCATAGCAATAGAGAGGGCAACAGCAGCAGGAGAGGTGCCAGGAAGAACACTGGAGTCCAGGTGGCAAAGAGCCTTGAGTTAGAGTTTATCCTTGAGCCACTAGTATAATGAGAAAATCACAGGGGCTGGATGAATTTATTGGTGAGACTAATAATGGAAGTATGATGACCAGCTGCAATAGCCTAGGTGAGAGATGGGGAGGACCAAGGTCTGGGCATGGTAATGGGTGTACAGCAGAGGAAATACAGGAGAGACTTAGAAGTCTACATGCCACTATTTTGTGACCAATGGGATGCTGGTTGTCAGAAAGAGGAGGAGTTGCTTTTAATTTCTTGGCATTTCATTCATTCAAAAAAAGGGAGGAGAGAGTAGCTTTTATCACCTACTTAAAGGAGACTTTAAAATCTTCATAATACTTAATTACTTAAAATAGTTTAAAATCATCAGTCAAGTATTTTGTAACACAGAAAGCCAAATGACACTGTTATTCTCATTGAATAATGGTTGAAGTTCAAAGAAAGTCAATGTGTCCACACTCCACATGTCCTTATTTTTACATTCTATGTATTGGTCGTGTTTTCCTTGGAAAGCATGGTGTCTTTCATAAACACCATGGAGATTTCCTGAGTAAAGATGAGGTAACCCGATCCCCCGTGATCTCTGGGAACCCCATGTTCTTATCTCAACTGTACAAAGCAAGGAGAATTTTCTCTTCTAAGATGAAACTTCTGAAAGACAGCTTCCCTTGTGATTAAAAAATGTCAAATCAAAAAAATTACCAGATGGTCTAAGTGACAAGCCCAGAAATGCAGGCTGAATGATGACAGTTGACATAATGATATCATGTACTCTACTCACAAATTAACACCTGTCATGTGCCAGGCACTCTTCTAAGCACTTTCCATGAATTAACTCATTTAACTGCACAGCAACTCTGTGGGGTAGCTACCCTCGGTTGCACTGTCAGGATCTGAACTCAGGCAGTTGGCACTCTTAACTGTCACTATCCTGAATCCTGCATTAGATAATGACTCTGGAAATGACTTTTTTTGTTTATCATGATTTTCCTATAACAACTTGGCCTAGGGGCTCTGGCACTTCATTTAATAACTTAAGGACAACTTCATTCATTGATGAATGGCACTAAGGTCTTTTAAAGGACAAGTTATTATGAACTGAGAACATCTCACATTATTTTATTTTATTTTAAGATTTATTTACCAATTACAGTTGACATAACAATATTTCATTAATTTCAAGCATACAACATAGTGATTAGACATTTATAGACCTTGCGAAGGAATCACCTTCTGATGTATTATTTTAGAGTACAAGTCTTGATGGTTCTCTATGTTGCTGTTACTGGGAATCATTACATTTCACAGAGGGCTTCCAGATTTCTGGACAGCTCTGGTCACCAGAATGATGGAGAATCTAGAAAAACCTTGCTAACCCTGAGGGCAAAACCAGACTCTGAGAGATGGGAGCAGTGGCAAGAAGAAAGTTATCAGTTTTCAGGGGTCTCCTGCCTTAGTAGGAATTTCCAGATCACTTCAAGGTAAACTTAAAAGCATGACTTCTGTGCTCTCTTCAAGATGGGAAGAGAAAAAAAATTTAAACAAGAAGAGTGCCATTTAAAATTTTAATTTATTTATACTTCATAACCTTTTTTCTAAGTAATTTTTAAATTGTGGTAAGACATACATAAACATGGAATTTATCATTTTAACCATTTTAAGTTCAGTAGCATTTAGTACATTCATGTTTTTATGTAACCAATCTCCAGAACACTTTTTATTTTGTAATCTGAAAATCTATACCCATTAAAATATAAGTCCCCAATTCCCTTGCCCCTCAGGCCCTGGCAACCACCATTGTATTTTCTGTCTCTATGAACGTGACTCATATAAGTGAGTAGGTATCTCATACATAAGTGGAATCAGACAGTGCCTTATTTCCCTTAGCATTCTATCCTCAAAGTTCATCCATGTTGTAGTATATATTAGTATTTTCTTCCTTTTGAAGAATAAATAACATTTTATTATATGTATACACCACATTTTGCTTATACCATCCACCATCTACTGATGGACACTTGGGTTGCTTCCATGTTTTGGCTATTGCAAATAATGTTGCTATGAACATAGGTGGATGAATATCTCTTTGAAACTCTGCTTTATGAGCTTTCTGCAAGATTTAGTAGCTCTTTTTTTCTGATTCGTGTCCCATTGGTGTTCTGAGAAAAAAAAAAATCTAGCCCTCACATAACGTTAATACGATGAGATTCACAATAAGTTCATGGATTTAGTATAAAGTAGCCAAACACCGTAGTTTGGTCTAGCCAGGCATATATTTTTATAGCCATTCCTGGGGCTGGCGGATGTGGGCAGCAAAGAGTAAGGAGCATCCAGCTCTGCAGACAGGCTTAGGGGAGAGGTAACCCAAGCAATGGCACATATATAGATCAGGGAAGCAGAAGGCCCCTGGGGCCTAGGACAGAGACTACAGGGAAGTCTTGATCTGCAAGTCCAAACCTGCTTCTCCTCCAGACTTCCCAGCTACCAGAAGTGGAAACTTCATGGAACTAGTTGCCTTTACCAGAGACCTGGCTGTGACTCTCAGCACTTCATCTCTCCCACCCCTCCTATTCAAGTGGTCTCCAAGCCCTGTCAATTCTAGCTCACAAACATGTCTTGATTATCCACTCTTCTCCATTGCACCTTCATCCAAGCCACCATCTCCTCTCATGGGAACTACCACAACAGCCTCCGATGGTGTTCCCCCTTTGCTTTTACCTGCCACTAATCCATTCTCCTATGGCAGCCAGAGCATCTTTTGGAAATGTCAATCAGATAGTCTTCTAGGCCTAAAGCACTCATGAGAACACATCACTCTTGGAATATAACCTAAACTCCTTTCCTACAAAGCCCTGCATGGTCTTGACACTCCTGATCTCTACTTGTTTTACCCGTCCCACACTGGGATTACCAGACTCAGTATTACTGCCCTCTCCAAATTTATAGACACTCAACACTTCTTTCCTCAGGACTTCGGTGTGTGTTGCTCCCTCAGCCTGGCGTGCCCCTCCACACCGAAATCTTCCCAAGTCAAGCTGCTACTTGGGCATAAATGACTCATCTTCAGGGAAGACTTTTCTAAGCATTCAGTCTAAACTATGAATGTCCCTTGTTATTCTTTCTCGTAATATTTTTTTCTTTCATAACATGTTTCACATGTTTTAATTCTGTACTTTGGGATTTGTTTATTGAGTATGTATCTGTCTTTCCCAATAGACTGTGAGCTAGCTCCATTCATGTTTATTTATTAACCATTGTTTACCCAGCCATCCACAGTACCTGGTACATATATGGGCAATTCACAAATACTTGTTGACAAATGAATGAATTAATAAATGAATAAGAACATGAGGTGTTCCTCTGAGCCTGAAAAGTGGCCTTGACGGGGAATTCTCTGGACTTTCCATAGAAAGAGGAGGAGCTATTCATGGACAGATTCATTCTGTCCACTAAGAACCACTCTGGTTCTTTACTCTTGGACCTCATTAATCAGGGCCTGTCTGTCCATCGGAGGTCACTCCACTCTTCATTGCAGAAATGTAGACGATGTTATTAAAGATGAAATGGCCTTTTCCACTCCAACAGCAAAGAAGCCGGTGAACCTCTACACTGTCCATGATGGTGCCGTCCATACTGTTCAGAGGTCACCTTTTTACAACGACATTATCCTCACCATTGGGGGATGGAACGTGGCCATCTGGAAAGAAGGTATCATGGTAAGTTGCTTGTAAAATGAAGGAATGGGTGTGTGGTCCTTTGTTATTGAGAAAGACAATAGAAACAACAGACTATCCTGACATAACAGTGCCTTTGGGACACTTTTTAGAGAAATTGAAACAGATGGTCTTGGCTCCAGCTTGTCAGCAGAACTGCTGCAAGCCCTTTGAAAACCTAACCATTTGTTTTTCTTTCCTGAGGGAAGGAAACATTTAGGAGTCTCTTGTTCTCTGGAAGCTAACAGTCTTTTCTCTGAAATACATTGTGGTCAGTGGACTGGATTTGCATTTTTCCTCCCCTTAAAATACAAGACGGGATGCTAAAGATGGATGCTCGTTACTGTATGAAGTTTAAGGAGAAACACCAGGTCTGTCCTTTTTGCTTCTACACCAGGACTATGTCAGCAGGTTCAGAAAGTGGGAGTAAAAAAGCTCAAGTGTCCATCACCAGGGAGACCAGAGACGTGCATGGGTCAAAGTGAGGCAGTGCTAAGAAAATCTGGTGGTCAGGATTAGGAGAGGGTCTGGATCCAGACTGATGGAAGCTAAACTGTCAAAAACTAGAAAGACTGAGAAAATTCAGTGAAGCAAGGGTGTGGGGAAATTAATATGATACATCCCTTTGATGAGCAAATTAAGATTATCAAAATCTGAAATATATATCTATATATTTCACAGCCATAATATATATATTCTTTGAATAAATAATATATGTAATATATATTTTTATTTACATAAAAAAATTTATAATTATTATATTTTTGACCTAACATTTTCACTTCTGGAACTCAAACTAACACAAATCTCCAAAGAAAAGTTTGTGTGAATGTATGTACGAGATTTTTATTGAAAAAAATTGAAAACTGTGTAAGTGCCTATCCACAAAAGGACTTCTACTTTATACAATGTACTTCTGTATATTCTTTTTTTTTTTTTTTTTTTTTTACGATGAGCAAGTATTAGTTTTGTAATTAGAGAGAAAGAAAAAGGAAATGTAGGCAAGATTGTCCAAAAACTACTCAGAGGTCAGGAACCTGGTTATCCACAGCAACTGAAGGATCTGGGCAAAGTGGGCAAGAACAGGTTTGGAGTCACACCTCCAACAGGTTCATGAGTCGAAGACATTCTTCGTTCCCTACGGAAAGGTTCTTATGCATGTATCGGAGGACAGAGAGACGGTTCGGCAGTTTAGTTTAGTCCTTACAGATGTGAACAGACAGACATATGCGTGTACTTGGTTGCCAGGTAAAGAATGACAGTAGGGAGAAAGCACATTCTGATCTTCTATCTCTATGAAAACCTCCCAAAGAAGGCAAATTACCCCATGGTAGAGAAAAGACAAGATGATCTTATGATGCTTTGCTGGTCTGAAATCACTTCCAAATATTATTTGTAAGCCATTGGATGCAGCTCACAGCTTGAATTGACTTTTTATTTCTTTTTCCTGACTATTGGAGTTGTCTACATTAGAAGCAGACATCTGACAGCAAAACAAAGGTATAAGCAAAATTTTCTTATAATGTTTAATTACCTAATGTACACCAATCTCCAGAGAAATAGCAATGGACTTCAGTAACAGTTGGGTTATTAGAACCGTTGACAGCTCAATTGACAGGTTTGATTTCCAAAAAAAAAAAAACAAATAAGAAAATAAAGGTATTATAAAAACATACAGGAAAGAGAAGAGCTGATATTATATAAAAATGCTACAAGAAAAAGAAATAAGACTTCTGAGTGGGCATCATTTTGCTGTTACATGATATTAGCCATCTGAGTTGTACTTAAAATCACTGTGAATATCCCTTCAATAAAAACAAAATCTTTTAATTTGTCTTTTTAAAAATTTGTTTAAAGACTGGACCCCTCCTCCAGTCGTCTTGTGCACCAAGAAAGTACACCTCGGGACACTGGTCCCTGACAAGGCCTGGTGTCTTCTACGTTGGCCGAGAAGATGGATACATCGATATCTGGGACCTTCTGGAGAAAACCCACGAACCAGCCCACTCACAAAACATCTGTATAACTATGATCACCTACATCAAACCCTGGACCTTTTCTGGTATGTTAATTCTGATCAAATGTGCTGCATTTTTTTGCATTTTTTTGTGTAACTCGGGAAAATTGTGACATTCATCTGGAAAGCCTCCGGTGCTGTTTCTCAGGGTTTTTTCTTCCCTTCCTTTTTCTTTCTTTCTCCTCCTCCATTTCCTTCTCCTCCTTCTTCTTCTCTCTTGCACTCATATCTTGGATACAGCCTGAGCTTCTCTCAGTAACTTCTTCATGAACAATTATTTCTGAGACATATTTAGTATGCCAAGCAGAGGCTGATTTTGAACCACGCAATGAAAAGCATCCTTCTCATCTTCTAATAATTTATTTCCTTTGTCTTAATTTCTCTGTTTTAACCAAGTACTACTTTCAATGTAGATCCAACATACTTGCCTCTTTTAAAAGAATTTTCTCTTTGTTTCCAAGGGTGTTCAGGCATAAAATTGTCTTTCTATCCATTTCTCTCTCAGAAATGTTACATGTAGAAATTCAGGTTTCAGAACCTCCAGAGTGTCAAAGTATGGCTACTGCTTTAGTTGTATCAACAAAGTGTGTTTTGCTACAAAATATTGCTTTTGTATACCTACAGGGATTACGAGACCAGAATTTAGGAATTTCAACCAGATCTTCTGAAAATAAGAAGAAATAAAAACACATGATGAGTTAGAAAAATGAAAATTCTCAAATACATTTGTATTTTCTATCCATTTTAAATGCTCAAAGGAAACAATTCGTTTTTATAAGAAAACTAGTTCTGGCTGTGTCTTTGAAATTCATCTCTATAATGGTATTCTTTAGCCCTGACTGTGTTTTTGGTAAAAACTGGCCTCATGATTATTCTTCAAAAATCTTTCCATGTGTTGTCCCCTGCTTTCTTCTCAAGAAAAGCACTGCTATAGAGCAAGTCAATCTCAGCTAGGAGCCACATTCAGATACATACAAATACCAAGAAAACAAGATTTGAGATGGGCAGAGTGGCTGACAAATGCTCAGGGTCTCAGCTTTCATTTCATCAACTGGAAAAAATGACTTTTACACATTAGTATGGTCCGTAGTCATAAATGCCTGATGAAGATGCCAAGATCGTTGTAACTACAGGAGATCCTTTGGGCAACCACAAAACAAAACCAGATTCCATGTTTAACCTCTAAGATGGGTTTTTGATTACTGAGTTGTTTGTTTTCCCCCCATTTTTTAAATCTTTCAGCTAAACAGCAATTTATGGCCGTAGCCGATTATTATGGAACACTGCATATATTAGAAATCCCTTGGACATTAAGTCACCCTTCTGGCAATGAGGTCAGTAACTTTTGGCTTTGAGGATTTATGTGACTGAATATAGCTGTGACATGTTTTAAAAGTGTGCTCAGAAATAACAGCATTTTTGCTCTGTAAGAGAATAAAAGAATCATATGGTCAAAACAGAGAAATTAAGACAAAACTAAGACAAGTATTTCTGTTTTATGAGTTAAATAATTGATGCTAGCAAAAAACAAACATGCAATGAGAAGGAGGCCAAATAAATAAAACCCAGATTCAGAAAAGAATTGATTTGGGAGATTGTAATCACAAGATGTTATTTTCAGATGTTAACCCAAGGGTGGGACCCTTATTTCAGTGATGCCCTGCCCACAGGGCACAGTTGACATTCCTATGCATCTTTCTGTTGCCCATCACCACCCCAACCTCCCCTACTCGGTGCATGACAAGGAGCATGTCTGAAAGTGGCAATATTCTGCCTCACCATACCCACTACCCAAGGGTTTCAAACAATGTGAATAAGGAGGTTATAAAAAGATCAATAAATATGTATACACCCAACGTTAAATATATAGATTGCAATCTGTTACAAGTCCCAACAACATCAGCCTGGTTACTATAAGGCAAAAAGCTTCCCCTCCCCCAATCACCTTGACCAAGGTCTCTGCCTACTTTTCCATTTCTATTCTTATGCTCACATGCTAAGCCCTCTAGGAGACCAGGAGCTCAACTCCACTCCCAGTGCCTTTAGGGTCTACATCGATATTCTCATCTGGGTCTTCAAGTTTTGTCAATGATATGAAATTTCTCTCAGTGTTAGAAGGGAGAAGGGAGGAAAGGGAATAAAGCCCTTATTCCTGAATGGTTTTTCTACAAAATTATATTTTTTAATATATATATATATTATATATATTTCGTTGCAGCTCTCTCCTTCCAACCTCACTCCTTCTTGGAATCCTCCAATTCACAGGGCCCTAAAACTGAGCATAGCAGCCCCCAGATTGAGCTAGTTTCTCTGCTTGTGGGCCTGTGT